AATTGAAGTCTTATTCCAATTCCCAGCAGCCAATCACTTCTCATATAATTAGGATTGCCAGTGATAATTGAAGTCATATTCCAATTGTAAGTCCATTAATTTTATTGTTCTCCAGGTCATCTCATCTTTAGAACTAATGCAATTTAGTCGTTCAATTTTTATGGTGTAGACTTTAATCTCCAAAATTGTAGATTTCATTCAATTTCAGCATTCTTTTCTCACATTTTTCGTTAAACATAAAGTTTTACCTACAAAACAAAATTTAACATAAATTAGGTTAAATTTTGATCCAAAAGACAATAAAATATCATGATCTAGGGGTACAAATAAGTGTACAAAATACACAAATCATTGGCCTTCGATCCGTGTTTGCATATGTGGTCTCACAGCTATAACTAATGTAGGTTGAACATTGAATTGTGACGATATCTTGAGATAATTTAAATATTAAGATTTTGTTGACCTTGTTAGTTATTCTATTTCAAATATTACGATTCCTTTTCTATTTCAACATTTTCTTTTCAGCAGTTCAATTTTTTACTTTTTATTGTTTTTACGAACATATAAACTGCTACACTTGTTAATTTCTGAACTCTTTTTAGCCAGATAAATTTTATATTCTCTTGATGAGATGGTGTAGGCCGGTCACTATGGTCATTTACGTTGCATAGTAGGGGATATCTGGGTTCCCCTCCTGCTAGTGTTTTTATCATGTGGTCAACCCTGAACTATATATTATGAATCACCACTAGATATCACCTGTATTTATTGGTTGGTGGAGTTTGAAGCTCCATTAATTGCTCTTACAACTTGACATTTTCAGTTGGCGCACAACCTGTGTAAAGAAGAGATCAGGTGTAAGTCAAAACTCTTACAAACTTCTGCAACTTTTTAACTATTGTGAATTTTGTAATTTTCGCCATCTGTTCACTTTCTAGTATTATGACAACGCACGACAAATTTAAGTCATTCATAAGCAAGGAATGGATTTCATTTATGCTTACTTTAAAATATCCTTATTGGATATGAATGTTTCATACTCTTTTGAGGTAGTTCTTGATGGTCGATCAATAGGATGTTTTGTTGATCGCTATCTCTACGATATAAGCTATCCGATGGGGAGTGGAACGATTCTACTTGAGCCCCAGGTCACTGTGTTAAGGTTTTCGGCTTGTGGGTAACGGGTTTGTTAGCACTTGGGCGTCCTCCCCTTACAAGCTAGTTTTAAGGGTGAATTATGCCCTATGTACTTGTAATAATGCTATCAGAGCGTCTGCCATTCTGTAAACCATTCTGGTTGCAGACAGGGCAACCTGGGGTCCTGGGGAGGGCTACTAGTCGAAGGCTGGGTCCTGAAATCACCTAGCTAGGAATATGGCTTTTGTGGATGTTAGTTTTAAAAAGAGGGATGGATTGCAGAGTACTTGGGACACACTACGTTTATAGGCCTGTTTTAAGGGTAGTTTTCTACGTAATGTGCTTGTAAAAGTGAGTTTGAAAAACGTTTGTTCTATTGAAAGGTTACAGACGGTGTAAATATTATTGAACTTGCACGTGATGTAATATAATTTGTATTTCTCTCTGTACAATTTTTTGTTTCATTTCTCTTGGTATTGCAAAATGAAAGGAAATACATTTGACTGATGAAGGTTGATTTTAATCTTAAATAAATTTGTCTCTGTAGTGTCTCTGTCTCATGCTAATGGTTATGCACTTCACATGATTTGCAGATGAACATGTTGCATTTGACAGTTGTTTTGTTTGTTTAACTAATTTTCTTAAGATCTGTATTTTTCTTCTCTTTCCACTTGACAATCATGACTTGGCATGATTGTCAACAAACATTGTCAACTATCATTATACATGTAGCATGATTGATATCTGAATAACAAGTATCTTTTCGATGGGTTTAATCATTTGTACTGAAAATAGGTGACAACGAATTTGACAACCTTTCACATGCGAGGGGCACTG